AAAGAGAGATATGTGATCTACATCCATGTAAGTGTGAGGATAATAATAGAGATGAGGATACTGTGTCCGAGGGCACGGTGTCCTGGCCCTCCGCAGTGTATCACGCACACCTTGCGCACAGACTGCTTCTCCTCTGCGGTGTATTAGCCACACCTTGCGCGTGGACTGCTGCTCCTCCGCGGTGTACCAAGCGCTCTGCTCAGGATCCTCTTGTGTACCTACACCCTGTTCATGAATCTCTGCATTATGCCAGGCGCACCGGATGCTCTTGTACTGGTCCAGCTAGTGTTCCCACTGGCAAAAGGAGGGGGTGTGCCACTGGACTTTCCTTTGGCCCACACGGGATAGGTGCCCTGCTGTACAAAGATCACAACCGGTCTGTGCTCGTGGTAGCCACCGGGCTCGCCCAGGGGCGCGAAGGTAGAGGGACCGGCGTGGTCTTTTCTACTGCGCGCCGGGCTCCCTTGAGTTATGGGATAGTCACACGTCGTGCAGCAGGTATCAAAAAGCAAAAGGAAAAAAAAAAAAAAGAGGAGAGAGAAAAGGAGAAAAGAAGGGTGAGAAGGTAGAACTTTGTCATCGTCCCCCACCCTTCATCGAGTAGCAGCAGAGGCTATGGCCAACACTCTCCCACACACCACACACAACCCACTCGCGCTCACACTGGCGCAGCTACTGGCAGGTCTCGGTCTTTGTGTTAGCCAGACCCCCACTGGCGGCCCCAACCCTATACCCTAACCATTACGGGCAAAGGGCAACATGAAATCTCCCCTTCACAGAGAGAGGAAACTATGCTTACAGGGGTCCCCTCTAGATAGTCTTAGGAGTAGGTAGTGGAAGGTAAAAGAAACAGAAGTTGAGAGAAGAATATAGAAAGAAAAAGAAAAAGAAACAAAGAAGGTAGAACTTCGTGTTTATTATCTACGCCAAATATCTAGGTCGTTCTTTTAGTGCTTAATCAATCTAATGGCTGTGGATGCCCTCGTGACGTTATGTGTCCTTTCTTTATTTCTTTCTTTTCTATTATTATTATTATTATTATTGTTATTATTATTAATCTTGTCTTTTCAAACTTAGTTCCCCCTGTTGTCACTTCCAGGGGGAACGAGCAGTTCTTTTTTGAACTTCCCCCTGTTGTCACTTCGAGGGGGAACGAACGGTTCATTTTTGAACCCTGATTACAGACCGGCAACCTGGACTTGCCCAGCCCTTCGCTTCTCAGTTACCACGGTTGTGACCTGCTAGGCCCCATGATATAGGACTCTAATAGGAGGGCGACCCGCGGCCACTTTGGTGAGACTTATCACCCCCGCGGAAGGTCATAAGCGCCCTCCTTGCCATCGGGCACGGGTACCCATCAGGAGTAGTATAGAAAGGGAAAAGGGGGACCGCTGGCACTCCCTTGGTCCCGACTGTCGGACAGGCGCTGGACCTGGAGCAAAAACAAGGGGGAACCCAAACCCCTTGGCTTCTCCTCCTGCGCCCCATAACCCCACCACCGCTTGCTGGCCTTAATCCCTGC